ACAATATTTGTTGCTATGGGAATAATTACTATATCTAAAGTAAAGCGTTATGATTCATGTGGAGATTAAACAACAGGAATAGATCAATTGAAGGCTTTAAAGATGGTTCTTCGAGTATTTGTTAGTGTGTCTATGTGTTATGCATGAGAGTTTGCAATCTCTTGAACAGTGTTGTCAGCTGAACTGCAGATGTATATTGAATTTTGTTGTCATGGCTAACAGGTTCAACTCCTGTATTTTCTCTTATTCTCTTTGACAGCAAGATGTATCCTGTTAAGTTGATTTGACATTTCTTTACCAAAGAATATCAATAATGCATTATTCACTTTTGTCTTGATTAATTTGAAATGTAAGTTTCATCTGAAAAGCTGAAAAAAGCAAATGGCACAGAGTTCTCACCAAGGAATTCTGCTACACACCTGTACAGAGTCCTACTCCTATTCATGCACTTACTGGCAGTGAGCTCTGAGGAAGTGTCAGTGATTTGATCCAGGTTACAGCAGACATAGAAGTCCAGATAGGTTTCCTAGCTCCATGTGTTGTACAAAACAAATGCTCTTTAAAGGCATATATTGTGTTTCATATCACTGCAGTGTTTGACTTGAATCATTTGAATTGTCTGTCTTGGGCCATTGGTAGCTGCGTTTAGAGAGAGGCCAGTTTATCATGAAGCAGGTTTGCCTGAATAGTGGCACATACTGTAGTGTTGTTGGTTGGCAGCGTTGCATAAGTGGCTTTTCATCAAAAGTTGCTCTGCCAGAACTGAGACAATATTCTCAGGCTCTTTCAGAAAAATGCCAATATTTTTAGTGAAACATCATGTTCATAGTGCTTCATGAGACATTATGTACTTGTCACATAAAGCAGATGTGTAATTTTTGGTGGGCAGTGTCTGAATCTCTTTCACTGTGGGAACTGATGCTTCTACCATGTTTTTTGCGTGAGTACTGGGAAATGGCACTGATGGATAGTTGAAGTAGAAAGTATGCCTGCTTATGACAGTGGAGCTTCTGAGATTTTTCAGTCAATATGAACACCACAAGTTTTTCTCCATTCTTACTTTGAGAATCCTCATTTAAGATGGATTTTGAATTGGAGACAACTAGAGGTTGCTGTTGTTTTATGTGCCTTATACCATTGCATAGGTGCATACAGTTGCGTATACATATATACAGATGCTGGGCAGTTCTGTACTTCAAATAGATGTGTCTGGTCAAAAAACACTGAACTCACTTGAAGGGACCTGAATGTTTACCCAGAAACCACACATACCAGTGGGAGTCAGGAAAATAAATTTATTTTAGGCTAAGTCACTGTTTGATCTTCAGTTATGTAGTAAGTAATGAAAGGAGTCATTAAAGTGAGTAAGAGGAAGAGAGAAATAATGGATAAATAGAAAAAAAATATTTCTGTAAACCCCTCAAGTTTTCCAAGGTTTTTTTGGGACCTAAATAGTGGTTTGGAATTATCAAATGCACCAGTGAAGAAAGGCTACAAAATGTGCCAAGATGGCAGTGTTTGTTACATCAAATAGTTATATACTCTCTCAAACACTTGGAGAACTGTTTCTTATTTCCTTGCCTATTTTGGATAACTAAATTATCAGGTTTTTTCCATGATACATAACTCTGACTTTGTGGAAACCGGGAAGGTAACTCCACCTGGACTATCTGAGAGGCTGAACTGGAAATACTGGTGTACCTTGATAAAAACACACAAAGTGAAACTGCCCAAGTTTAACTGATGTAGAATATTTACATAGAAGATTGCATATTCTACCTAGTGACAAAGTTGTTGCAGGCAACATTGTTGTCATATTCTGTAATGGGCGTCATGTACTGTGTAACTTTTTAATACTGTTTTTTTCTGATATTTTATTCATTTGATGTGTGGATGAGTGAATGCTCAGGGTTGTCTAAGAAATTCTTGAACTGAAATTCACGAGACATGCTGTAGTGATAACAGAAGATTAGACAAATCTTAGATATATCCCTTAAGAACATCTATTCTGTCTATTCTTAATTTTGTATACCGTTAGAGTAACATTCTTTTAAGAAGTACTGGCTTAGCTAGTCTCCCTCTGAAAGGGTGGCTATTTTTCCTTTCCTGGCTATGCTTCTGGGCATGTTATGCTGGAGAAGAGTGAGAGACTGCAGGGTATAATATGCAGGAGGATCAAGTCAGAGAGCTTGGGTGCATGCAGAGAGAATAGGAGACTGCAGTAAGGAGCATTGAGAAGGCAGTTGTATGTCAAAGGAGATAGAATGCGTAGTTAGAGATATTAGAGATCGGAGGCAAATGAGGAGGGTTTGCTTCTAGTCAATAACTAGCTGGAAGTAGTTGCTCTAAATGGAGAAAATAAATTTATTTAAAAATATTACATTTTTTTGAGGTTGTGGAAGATGCAATCTGGTACATCTGCATATGACACTTTGGCTTAATTTGAAATGAGGTTTGAAAATAAATACAAAGCTCTTGAAAGCAACAAAATGTTGTAAGAGTGCTCCCAGCTTTATTCTTGGCTCGTGCATTCTTTTCACTTCCTCACTCTGGAAAGGATTTGTAAAGATCACACAAGAGGGAACTGAAATTGTGGAATTTGTATGTAATTAAGATATAAATATTGTTCTCATCAAAAGCAGAACCAATGTTGTCATGAACTCAGCAATGTGCTGTAGGCAGTGGAAAACCAGAGTACCATGTGAGAGAACTAGAATTATCGTTCTAGAATTGATTCCAGGACTAGAAATCCGATGATAGATTTTTATTTAGAGAGGAGCATAATAGGCTGAGTTTCAGGGTGAATACTTCAACCCACATGGGAGAATTATTGAGCAGTGATAAGGAGTGATGCAATGAAAGGACGTCAGTATCAAAGTGGATAATAGATATGGAAGATGTAAGTTACAAACCTTCACAACGAATTTTGTGTTCCTTTTTGTTTTCTTCATAAGGCACAATGAAGCCCTGAATTCTCTGTGAGGTCACAACTATAATAAAAATATTTAAAACGTTGGCAGTATAAGCTCCTGAAAGAAAATAATGGATTTGGAAAATAAATTAGCAAAAATGAAGCCACTTGTGAGACTGTTCTGTAAGGGAAAATTTAAATACATAGAAATGGAATTAGAGGCATAGATTTCAGAGCTATTTATTTTACAGTTCTAGAAAATTGCAAGCAATACAAAAAATATGATCAGACAGAATGTTTTTAACTAAAAGTTGTTAAGCTTTTAACTGGGAAAAAAAAAGTAATTTACAAAACTATAAAAGTGATGCTGAAATTTTGTATCTTCATCTCTTCCTTGTGTTCAGCTAGTTCTTCACTGGTATTCTTTTGCAGCTGTGTTATTCACCATAAAGCTCTGCTGTTAAATATTGTCTTGGTGACAGATTTTTTGCAGATGTTTTGTATTTGTCTTTCTACCTGGATTATTGGAAAATATTTATTTTTTATATTAGTTCTTTTGAGTAAATATAAAAAATGGAATAAAATTCATATGCAGGGTATAATAATTTATTTTTGCTACATTTGGCTTGCTTGTAAATGTATTTTAATCTATATTTTATTCAACACTGATAAAAGTGCTATCAACTTTATAGTGCTTTTGTAGCAATGCATGACAATCTATCATAGGAGGAGACCCATAAAGCCTCTACTGTTTCACAAAGTGGATGAAGGCAATCACATGCTGAAGGAATGTGATGATTTAGCTTAATGTACCTTATTAAACATTTCTCTGTTGTTTCTTCTTCTGAAACAAATATTTTTTCTTAAATGCATTATTAGAAAATTACTATATTCTGTAGACCTTTTTTTGTTATCTGAAAGTTCTATTCAAAAACTTCCCACATTTTCCTTCCCACATTCACATTATTTTAATTATTCTAATTGATACCTACATGCCTTCTAATTGATCGTGAAAGATTTGATAGGCACTGTCCACTTGACTGAACTGAACTATAGACCTCATCATTAATCAGAGCAGTGTATAAGGATCTAATTCAGAAGAATATAGTTGACATCTCCTGTCAGCAGCTCTTTCCTTTTTAGAATGAAAAGACATTTCCCTCTGCATATTTTACAGGTGGCAAAATCACTAGGTTGCCTTGAGATTTCCAACCAGCTCAAACATGTGACTAGACTGAAATTCTGGTGGTAACAACTGGATCATTAAAAATTATGTTCTTGATTTCACCGGGCATGGGTTTTACACCCAGCCTCCTTTTCACAGCTTTCCTTTTTCCACATCTTTCTCAATAACAAATTACTACATTTTTAGATTACTTATATTTAATAAGATATTTCTTGTTCATTTTCTGTCTGATTTTCTTTCCCAGTTTCTCTAGAGGCTTTCAGTTTCATAAAGTCAGCTTTATGGAGTCCTGCATGGAAACACTGTTAATAAGTAAATCAGACTGATATCACCAAATAATTTTTCCCATAGTGGGATCCAGCATATATGTCCAGTTACATCTTAAATCTCATTGCTCCCCATTACTCATTGGCTAGAATGTGTCTCTTTTTCCCTTTGGAAAATGAGTGTCAGTTTCCATCAAGAGCTGAGAGGTGTCATTCTGAGTGAACAGAGTGATTTGTCTGGTGTTGCTTGGCAGGATGCAGCATATTCCATCCATAAGGAATTTAGGGCAGAGTGCGTGGAAGTGTAGGGGATAGAGGTTGTAGGAATTAAGGAGTGGGAGAGTGAGATGTAATGTTGTGGATAGGAATACAAATTGTAAAGACATGCACTAGTGCTGTACTTCCTTATGCTCCACGTGGAGCAGTCAGCTCATGACACCTGTCAAAACACTTCTTTGTGTTCTTGTCCTGATTCATAATTCTTTTAGACTTCTGCATTTGTGTTCACACAGATGTGAATTTGTATTCAGACTTCTTACAGCATTGTTTTATCTTCACAGTTAGCACACATGACAAAATAATTGTTGTTTGTCTTCATTCCAGAACTATAGTGTAACCAGTTTTTGTTTTCTTTAAGAACTGCCTGAGACTTCCTTAATTGAAGAGAAAGAGACAGAGATATGGGCCAAGCCTCTGGTCCACCTTTGGCAGACAAAAGTACCCAATTTCGATGCTGAAAAAAAATACAATGCAGCTTGTGCAAAAAAAGAACCGCACTGTGCCATTTGCACTCTTTTCATGCCGTACTACAAGGTAAGCAAGATCCTAACAGCATCATCTTGGGGTCAAGTATGGACTAGCTGCCCAGATGCTTTATTTCAAATAAATTAGAAATAAAATAAACTTAGGCATTTGACTTGCATGAGAAGTAAATAAACTCACTATTGTTAAGATTAGAACTTATACTCTGTTCACCTGCATTTATTCTTGGTTGCAGATAATGTCTGCCTTCTATTAGGGTTTACATAGGGTTCGTATTAGTGTATGTGTGTTTGCCCTTGAAATTACACTTTCTGAGGTGGTGAATCCATGTAGGTTTGTATCTTTTAGCTATTTCCTTCTATGTCCATCTTCTAGTGCTTTTTATTGGAGCCTTTTCTATGTCTGCTTCTTACAGTGTTGAAGAAGTAAGTGTTTTCACAGTACTTAGGCCCTGTCAGGAATAATATTCCCACAGAAACAGCCTAATACAGAGCACTGTTTGATACTGGCTTGTGGAATTCCTGTGTCAAATGCTACAGTACTAATTCTGAAGCTGCTAAACTGGAATCCCCCCAGCATGAGAACTAGGAATAAAACTTTTATTGCAGTGGACCCAGTTAAAGGGCTCAAAGCAAGACAGAGATACAGTATCATTGAACACTGCTGCATAAAACTAGTTTGCAGGCTGACTGCTATTCTAGATTTGACAGTTATCTGAACAATGAAGAAACTATAGAATGACTGTGATAAATACCTAGCAGCAGTTAATTTTCTCATAAAATTGTTACATTGTTAGTGCAAGAGCTGGGAGGGGAGAAGTTGTTTCATCATTGTCAGAAGGTAGAGTAAGTAAATCTGTCCTTTCTTTTACTTAAATATAAATATTGTTTATTTTCCAGCCAGACAATCATAATGAAGGAAGTCCTGCTTTCAGGAAAGCAAACTCAGCAGAAACACTGATGGCTGAAAATGAAAAGACTAAACCTCTTATTCCAGAGATATGTTTTATTTATGGTGAAGAAAACATTGAAAACTTTCCATCAAATGCCTTAGTTGAAGAAGATGGAACAAGTCTTCTGATTTCCTGTGCTAAGTGTTGCATACGGATTCATGCAAGTAAATAAAATAATTGTTCAGTTGGCAGAAATGTAACTTCAGATTTTATTTTATTGATAAATGTTAGCTAGGCTTCTAGTATGTCTTTAAAAGTACTTGAAGAATGCTTCCATATGTAATTCTTCAAACACTGGCTATTTTTTAAAAATAACTATATTACATTTTCTATTACTTGCTAATGATTGCTGTGAAAACAGTGAAAAACAAACTTTTCTGTAAACTTTCAATAATCACAAAATTCCGATTCTTGTTTCAATTCTGAACTATTAAATTCCTCTTTTACTTCTCATATTTTAAACCACTGTGTGATGTTAGTATATCCTTACTAAGTAGGCACGGTGAAATCCTGCTGGATTTGAGGACTTGTGAATATTGATATTGACTTTAGTTTATTCACCTTACATTCTTTTTTACTTCAAGAGTGACTGATGAATGCATGGATTTTCTGCAAGTATATTCTACAGATACTAGGACTTGAGTATTTAACTCTAAGAAGTCCATGTGAAATTCTTACACGGAGGTGCGATATAATTGTGTAGAATAAATGTCAGTACATTAATTCAAATTGTACATTTTGACTGCAGGGAGATTTGGTGGTTTGTTAGTGAACTGACAGAAAGTAAGAACTTCTCTGGGTTTTTTTCGGGGGGGGGTGTTGTGGATTTTTTAGTTTTAATTTTTGGTTTGGTTTGCTGGTGTTTTTGGGTTTTGTCTGAGTTTTGGAAAGAGTGTCTATGTGCCTAATTTGTATATTTTGTAGACTATGGAATTAGCAGTAAGTCTAGATTGAAAAAGTATTGTTGGTCAGAGATGTCTTTTACTTGTGTTTATATACAGTTGAATTGTATGACATCATAGGTAGAAATGTAGAATATATTAATCAGTCCAGCTCTCTTATTCTAGGTTGCTATGGTGTTTTTCCTCATGAAATCCATAATGGATGGTTGTGTTCTCGATGCAGAGAAGAAGCCTGGAGAGCCGTAAGTTTCACATTTTGCTTAGTTATCTAATACATTAGGGATTAAGAAAAAAAAACCAACAAAAAAAGAAACACGTTCATGATTGCATGTGAAATGTGGCCTGTATAATTTTTCTGAACACACACTTGCTGGAGAAAAATTATTTGTGAAATGTGATTACATTTCAATATAAAATGTAATAACATTCTGATAGTATAAACTTACTCCAAGTTTGTCTCTCATGAAAAGGATTGGCTAGCAGAATATATTTGTTCAAGTAAAAAACTGAAAAATTAAATGCACATAAAGAAAAAAAGAGAGTTTGTCTAAATATTTTAGACTTCTGGTATATATGTGTAGGCAGATGGAAAGTAGAGAAGGGAAGAGAGAATAATACATTACAGTCAAGAATGAAATTGTTCTTTTACAGCATTTAAGGTTTACTGCACTGTGTGAGCAGAAAAAGATTACCCATGTTATTTTATTTTTTTTTTTAAATATAACATAGTTTTATACATCAAGGAATAAATAGATAAGCAATTAATAGTTAATAGAATCCTTAAATGTACATTCATTTTAAAAAAAAAAAAATTACATTTCACCAATCTATTTGTGTAGTTTAACATCAAAAATTACTCAAAAAACAGTAAAACAAAATTCAGTCTTGTAATTTGTTAATGATATTTTGTAGAAAGGATTCTAAAATTGTTCTAGGGTTTTAAGGTTATTTTACAAACATTCTTAAAGTGAAGAGGACATTTGGATCGTGCAGAAGCAGGTGAAAGATATGAACAAAAATAGTGAGATAATGATGGACTTGACTCATTTATGTTCACTGTGGGGCAATGAAGGGGGAACTGGATAATGTGATAGAAAAAGGAAAATGTTGGGGAGAAGATTAAAGCTTGTCTTGGCTGGGATTTTTCTTTGACAAACTTTTAGGGGAAAAATTCGCAACCAAGGAGTGTTAATTTGAGAAGTATGCACATTTTACTGACTAGGTTTAGTTTTATTCTGTTACGATGCATATAAGTTTCTGAAAACAAGGAGGATATGAACTGTAGAGAAAGTAATTTTTTGCCAAATTATTTGAGGAGATGAGGTGAAGCAGTGGAAGAGATACCAAAAACATACAGAAAATAGTTGAATGGAAGTTTCATGTGAAGAGGTTTTAGTATTGGATTTTTGCAAAAGCATGCTCCAGGGACTGATCTGAAATTTTTTGTATTAGGTATCAGGAAGGTGATAGGAATGAAATGGAGCACTGTTTTCACTGTGCAAAGTATGTGTTGTCCACTTGGACAATTTATTTAATGTAATCTTTATTATACATTTAACTGAATTGCTGTGATTTTGTATTTGTATTAATTACTGTATAGCTAAATCATTAGTGCTAACAACTTAATCTTTCTATAGATGCAATTTGGTGACCCAAGTGAAGTGATACTGTTTTATGCCCCAAGATAGCTCTTCCTTTAGATATGTTTGTGGAATAAAATTCACATTCTTAATGTGATAAATTGGCATTTGGCTGGGAAATTTTAATGAACGTTGAAGATCGAATAGACCTCACTAGTATTAAATTTACTTAAAACTTGTCCTCCTTAGTCTGCTGTCTTGTATTCTTTGTTATTGCATGTCATTCACATGTCAATGTGAACTGTTCATTGTCAGCTGAAAGATGTAGGCGTGATATAGTAGACATCTGCTACCCAAGTTAAATAGCAAAAATCCATCAGTTTCAAGGATGTGAATAACGCTCATATTTTTTCATACACGAATGATACTCAATTTACTTTTCTAATAGTGGGGTCTTTCAAAACTCTTGAGATGCTGAAGCAATCTCAGGATTACTAGTGATTATCTCTGAGAGCTTGCCAAATTTAGGTGAGATGCCAGCTGCCTGGAAAATTTAATGTTTCTTTTTAAAAAAGCAGGAAATGGGTGACCCAAGAATTATGTATCAGTCAACCTATCTTGATTCCAAGAGAAATACTAAACGAATGATGAATCTACGAATTTCTGAACACTTAGACAACAACAGAGTACAAAGAGATACATATTTATGAACAAACCAACCGATTTCTTGCTGTAACAGCTCATGGGAATACGGAATAAGCAAAAGATTTCATGCATTCTTACTTTCAGATGCTTTTGATAGTGTTTTAAATTCTGATATTCAAGCAACAGAAGAGATAATGGTGTAAATCAGTAGTTGCCAAACATATAACAGTATGGATCTGCTTTCAGGCTATCAGTCATCATTCTCATTAGACTTAGAGTGATGAAGTTCTGTGCATCATTTGCTGATTGCTTTTCATGTCGTTGTGGAATATATGTGGAAATCTAGACTGGTCTACTGTAAGATGATTGCATAGGAGATGGGGGAGTGTACCTTATGTGAAGCTACCAATGCGTTAAACTTACAGAATATATCAAAGGCTTTTTCACAACTGTCAAATGTGCTTCAAGTATTATTCAAAATGCAATTTTCTTCAGTTATTTCAATATTTCAATGACAGAAAAGGATTAATAAGAAGCATTTCTAATGCTTTTTATGTAAGTACCAAGGATCTTGGGCATCTTTTAGGCTGAGGTCTACTTATTTGGGTTAGGAATACTATTTTGGATTGGATCCAAATACTGTTTTGGATTAGATCCTACTATTTTGTAGAACAATAATTATTACTGTATTGAAGAAGTGATGTAAAATAAATTATATAGAATTCAACAGAGATAGGTACAATACTTAGAGAGGAGTTATTAGTTATGCGCATATAAGATGGGAGTCCCAACCTCAGCAGTAGCTCCTACTGCCAACTGGAGTTGTGACTATTATGTTCACAACCTGAACATCAGTTTTGTAGAACCTGAAACATCACACCAGAATGTTTAAGCCTTGTACTGGAAGTAAAGCCTGAAAAACATGGCAACAATCTTTTTGCTCTGCTTTCTTCAGCTTTGATGAGAGCCCAGCTGAAGAACTGTGTCTAACAGTGAACACACATGGTTCAAAAAAACCCACAATCCTGAATGGGATAGAAGAAAACAAGAGGTGCAGTCGAAATTGCAAAAAAATAAGACAAAAATTATTTTAATCATTCCTGATAGACCTCAACCATTCCATAAGGGAGGATTGAAAATAATAACCTTCTTAGTATAGCCAGGGGGAAACAGAAAGGAAAGAAGTATCATTCTCTCATGCAAATATAGGAACACAATTAATTGCCATTCTTCATTTTAGGGACAAGATGACTTGTAGCAGCTTTAAACTGCATCAGCAGAAGTTTTTGTTAATATTGGGCAATACTGTGAATTTTTATTTCTCAAAACAGTGAATTACAGGAATAGGATATATAGAGATTGTGTAGAATCTACTCCACAATTTTTAAAAACATGTTAGACACACATTTGTCAGGAATATTTGAAGAAGGCTTGCTTGTGCCTTGGTGTAGAAGGATAAAATAGATCTTTCTTCTATGGTTCTCTCATGTCTATTTGAACAATAATATTCATTGCAAAGCATTGTGGCTATAGTTCTCTTTGGAGAAGAAATTGTCAGTTTGATATAAAACTTAAATGTATTAGAGTATTTTTGCTTGTATGGAACCTCATTGCTGACATCAACATGATTAAGAATTATGAATATTTATTTGGGTCCTATTTGTCATTTTAGGGTCATGTTTCTGTCTCTTCAGAGTTTGGACAATAATCTTAGATTATCCTAACAGCTTTCACTTCAAAATAGTACAATACTTTAATCTTAGCATTATACTTATGATAAATGTGGTTCTCTTTTAACTAATCTTTTGTACTTCTATAAAAAAGACAACTGTTGAATATACTGCTGCCCAGAGTACAACTTTCCCTTTTAAAAATCTGCAATTTGTTAGTTGTGCCAACCTACAGCTAAAAGTTTTATGCTACCTTTGAATCATATGCATGTTTCTGTTATGAATGAGTGTTCTAATTTGTATAAATTTTTCTATATGTGTTGTTACACATATGATACTTTACACAGCACTTTAAAATACAATTAATACCATAAGTCTCTCTGGAGAGGGAGATGTAATGAAAGAAAATTACTTATTTGCATGACCTTTTTTTACTGTAGGGAATATAGAGTGAGGTATTTCACATTCTAGCTAACACTGTTCAGACTTCAGGTTTATATATGAAAGAAATGAAAAAATCATATTCATCTCAATTCTTGTTCAGGATAAGCATTCCTAAAAGCTGCAGCTGTTGCAGAAGATGTGAAGCTAAGATTTGACTCACTGTAGGAATTACATATCCACATGCCTTCAAAAATCCAATTCTTACATCAGAAAAGTGTACAAAATGAGAATACTTAATTATCAAAAAGTATCTATTCTCTGAAACTCCAGCTTCCTAAATGTCTGAAATTGTTTTCCTTCCTCTTTGCATTGATTCCTAGAAGGAGGAGATTAATCTCAGAAAGACTTGTCTGAGGAATTCCCTTCTGGATAATCCTTTATATCCTGAAGGGAAGGCTGATTGGAAAACAAGAAGAAAATCCTTGTGCACTGGAGAATAAAATGGAAGTTCTGAAACATTGGTACAAACCATTGGTTCAAAGTTCAGAATTCATTTGTTAGGAAGGAACTTTCCTTCTTCTTCCTTTGCTTACATAGTTAATATTGGTTTTAGTTCTATTAAATAATATTTTCTTAAACTCCCAGCAGTTTGTGAACTTTGTAGAAAAATTGGTCTCTACTAAAAATGGAGGGAGGTTAAAAGTTGAAAGTGACTTTTCACAAAGCTGCACAGTGATAGGACACAGTATAATGTCTTTAAACTGCAAGAGGGTAGATTTAGGTTAGATATAAAGAAGTTCTTCACTGTGAGGGTGGTGAGACACTGGCACAGGTTGCCCACAGAAGCTGTGGCTGCCCCCTCCCTGGCAGTGTTCAAGGCCAGGCTGGACGGGGCTCTGAGCAACCTGGGCTAGTGGAAGGTGACCCTGCCCATGGCAGGGGGGGCGGGACTGGATGATCTTT